GGGCCCAGGCAGCTGCAGCCCCTTGCTGCTTCCAGGGGCCAGCTCTGGCCCAGCTGCCTCTGGGCCTTAAGCAGCCTGAGCACGGGGGCAACAGGGCTCCTTGGCCCCGGAGTCTGCTCCCTCCCCAGGCCTGGCGCCAGGCACTACTTGGACAGCAGCTGGGGGGGGTGCTCAGGGGTGGCCCACAACATTCTGGCACCTGAGGTGGGGAGCGCGAATGACGCCTCCTCTTGGGCCAAGACTTCGAAAGGTCTCGATTCTCTGGGTCCTAGGGGTGCCCCCCCAGTCTGGCTCACGGTGAGGCCGGCCCTGGGGATGGTGAGTGCTGCCCTGGTTGGAGGAGCACTTGCAGTGAGCTGCTGGCTCTGCCAGGTGCCAGGCCCCTCCTGCTAGCCCTTAGAGACCCTGCCCCTCCCTGCGGGTCACTCCTGCCCTGGGCCCCCTTCCTCTGCACCCCTTGATGGTAGGGGCCTGCCCAGGGAGCTGCTCTCCTGCCCCAGTGTGGTGGGGGTGGGTCCCTGGTGCCCGGGGCGAGACAGGCGGGAGGGGCCATGGCTTCTGCACTGGGCTGCCCTGTGGTTTGTATGCAGCAGGGGCCAGATGCTGTGGTGAGGGGCTGGAGCAGAGCTCAGGGGCCCCAGGGCATTTCCCAGCAGCCCTTTGGCTTTTTGCATTGATGAGCAATTTCCCAAAACCCCCCAGCCCCTAAAGGAGCCTGACCTGGCCTGGGAAGAGCCAGCAAGTGGCCTGGAGCAGGGCCGGTGGGGCGCTCAGTGTGGTTTGTATGCAGCAGGGGCCAGATGCTGTGGTGAGGGGCTGGAGCAGAGCTCAGGGGCCCCAGGGCATTTCCCAGCAGCCCTTTGGCTTTTTGCATTGATGAGCAATTTCCCAAAACCCCCCAGCCCCTAAAGGAGCCTGACCTGGCCTGGGAAGAGCCAGCAAGTGGCCTGGAGCAGGGCCGGTGGGGCGCTCAGCTGGGCCAGCAGCTTTGCCAGAGGGCGGCTCCCGGATGGGTGGCAGCAGATCCCCTGGCAGCCCCCTCCCCCCTGCCAGGTTGGGACAAGCTGCAGTGCTCTCCCCCTCCCCTCCCCTCCCCGCCCCGGTTTGGTGCACAAGCCATGGGGGAAGCCCCAGGCCTCTGAACCCCCCTAGGGCGGTGGCTGGTGCCTGCAGGCGCAGGCGGGCGAGGGCTCCTGTAGGTTTGGAGGGGGTGGTCGTGTGGGTCTGGCCCCCTCCCCCCATGTTCTGTGCCCCAGCCCCGTACTT